CTAATAAAATATAGTTATAAATAAGCTAATACATGATAATAAAATAATAATATAATAAATAAGATAAAAATATAGTAATGATAAAATTTGACAACTAGGGTCAACAATAGATAATCTTTTAACTTAAAAGTATTCAAGAATTATATCTCTGGCTAATTGATTTTTTTTTTTGACTAAATTAGATTCAATGGTTAAATTCTGACTAAATTCTGGCTAAATTCTAATGCAATTCTAATTGGCTGGTACAATTCTGATCATGTAAAAAGATCATTATTATAAATGAATAATTTTTTTAAATTACTAATATTTGATATTTTCAATAAATTATTTTCAAATACTAATAGCTTGATGAATATTAGTACTACAAAAATGAAACATATATTACTATATAGCTAAGAACTAGAGCTTTCAATTGGTTATAGAAATATCTTAGTTAAAAATTTACTTCAAATCATGTAAAATCAATTTGAATTAAAAATAAAAATAATTACAAATATTAATATTAGAAAAATAATTTAACTATTATTTTGAAGCTTATAATAAGAACTTTCAAATAATTTTAGAATTTATATTTAATAATAATTATTTAATAAATTTTATAATTGTAACAGTTAATTAGAATTGAATTATTATTTAACCTTTGTACCAGAATTTAATCATTGTACCAGATCCAGATTGCACCAGAGCTAATTCCTGGATTCAATTGGCTAAATTAAATCTGACTAAATTCCTGGCTCAATTTGTATTGCACTTCCCATTCTTATGGATATCTAATTAAATTATAACAATTTCTGAAAACTAGCATTACTGAAATCATATGCAAAGGAAAATGAAAAGTAACTGAAAATATGGTTAAAGAAGCCTTATCACAATAAAATTCCTGAATATAGACTAATCTTGACTGAGTAGGAACACAAACAAAACAAATTGATTAAGTTTAATTGATATTATTAGAGGTCTTATTCCCAATGCAATGAAGTGAATTATTAGAAAACTAATTAAGGAAAAAGACAAGACCAACGAAATTATAGATGAAATTTTTGCTGAATTAGCAGATCACAAATGGCAGAAATGGTTGAAAAATCAAATTTCGGGTACGAATCGGGTACCTATCGAGTACCCGATAACCGTGTTGGTTTTGCTGAATTTCGGACACCTATCGGATGGTTGGTAATATAAAATTTTAAATTAACTTTATCGTAGCTACATACAAAAGTTTTTAATTTTATAATTAAATTGTCAATACTTTACTAAGTAATCTTGTAGATAATAAAATATACATCAACTGTAAAAATATTAGCTCTACATCATTAAAATTAAGAGAATTATAGACGTTTTAATTCGTACGGCCGTTCAAAATTTGATCGCTTATAATCCTCTTAATTTTAAAGAACTAGATCTAATATTTCTATAGTCAGTGCAAATTTTTATTTTCTATGAGTCTACTTAATATCATTTATACGATTATATTATATAATAAAAAACTTATATATGTAGCTACGATCGCAATTATTTCCGATTTTATAAAAATATGATTATCGGGTATAATTTATCAAAATATAAAATTGGAAATAGATTGCAACCATAGCTACATATAAAAGTTTTTATTATATAATTTTATCGTAAAAGTTCTACTAAGTAAACTCATAGATAATAAAAATGTGCATCTGCTATAGAAATATTAGATTTAGTTCTTTAAAATTAAGAGAATTATAAACGATCAAATTTTGAACGGCCGTACGAATTAAAGCGTTTATAATTCTTTCAATTTTAATTATATGGAGCTAATATTTATAAAATCGGTGTAAGTTATTATTGTCTACAAGATTACTTAGCAATGTATTGACACCTTAACTATAAAATTAAAAACTTTTATATGTAGCTACGATAAAGTTAATTTAAAATTTTATATTACCAACCATCCGATAGGTGTCCGAAATTCAGAAAAACCAACACGGTTATCGGGTTCCCGATAGGTACCCGATTCGGACCCGAAATTTGGTTTTTCGACATGTGTAAAAAGATATCATAAATTTAATATCTGGAAAAATGACAACTTCAAAGTAAAAGATCAAAATTGGGGGGGGAACCCAAAATCAGAAGGATATATTAATATTAAAACTGGTTAAATAAACAAATTATAGAACTTTCTACATCTAGTTTAAATAATTTTATTTCTATTAATATTCTTATATTAAAATTTTTTTTTTGTTTAGACAGCTATGTGACCTAGGTCACCTGCTTGGTTTGGATCTCCAAATGGTCAGGTCGTAATCTTAGATTTAGTCAAATTTGTAATTTTTATAATACTGTTACTAAATTTTATTATATGAATGAAGTTGAGGTCACACTAGTCATCTCAAAAAAAAAAAATTGTTAAAGCTCACCAATGGTGATTATCACCACTGGGCAAAATTAAATTTACGTGGCAAAGTTAGGGAATTATGTAATTTGCCTGGTGGTGATGATTACCACCCGTGAGTTTTAGCAATACCCTTTTATTACTAATAATATTTTAATATTTTAACAGATTTCAATGATCCAATCCATGAAAATTAAGTTAAGTTTTGATTTTCATTACAAAAATTATTATTGTTAATTATTATAATTTATTATATTTTTTAAATTATTCAATTAGATAAAGCAACATTCACATTTATGCTCGATACCACAAGTCATCGATATGACTGGATTATATATTAATTATATTGTGAATAAGAACAAGACAAAGATTAAGTATATCATATGACTGTAATTAAATTATTTATAATTATTTGGACTGTTTATTTAAATTTACTTCATTATCCATTTCTCATTACACACTCTCTTGATGTTCTCTCTTAATAATCTTTAAAAGGATGAAGAATTATTAATTAAATGTCATTTAACTGAAGAAAATGTATCTTGTGTTTCAATCCTCGACTTTTTTGAATATATCAAGTATACTTTATGAATGATTTGAGAATTTCGGAAACAAATAAAATTTATTATAAAGATGATGATGAATATATTTTGAACTGCAATAAGATTATACAAGAGAGATAATTCATTAGAAATTTGGTGTATGTGAATAAAAATTCTTTTTCATTTTCTTATTCAAAGAATAATATTTGATATGATAGGTGAAGTATTAGGTTTTTTTTTTTGGTACTTGCATTTATTTTTGGAAGGATTTTTACTTCCTTTTAAAGATCCTAAAATGCGCTAATGATTATATTCACACAATTTTAATAATCTATTGGATATAATATAATTATAACCAAAATTTCAAATGGTAATTTATGAAATGAATCATCTCTTCAATTTCTACGTCTTTTAATCAAAACTTGCTTGAACTACTAGATGAAGAAAAGCAAAAAGCAAAAATCAAAATCGGGAATGCAAATAAACCATTTTGATGAAGTTAATTTGTAGTCCTATATTATATTATTAACTAACTTATTATATTATAGTGAACCAATTTGTTTAAATATAATATAATTGATTCTACAAATGAGATTTTGGTAGAGAAACAATTATTGGGTGATGATGAAGAAAAAACGATTTAATAATATAATAATTTGCTTGGATATTTAATATTGTAAAAGTGTGGTTATTTCAACCAACAATATAGACGGCCAAAATTCATAACAAATTAAATATGTAATTTCGTATATAATGAAAAAGAATTGTGCATATGTATATGGTATATAATACGGTTATATTGTGTATTTGTTTTTATTTATTTGAAATAACAAGGTTCAGGGAATTTTATTAGCTTGAATTTATTATTATAAATTCACCAATACACTTGAATAATTTAGATTTAAGGATTGAATTCAGCTGAATTATATTTCACCTAGATGTGCTGAATTTTTAATAAAATGATAAATGATATATACGTGATTGATAAATGAAACCATACGATAACCAAAACTTCGGAAAAAAAAAATGTGAATTTGCTTCTGACTATTTTTCACGAGGATTGCGAAGAATAAAAAACACTCTTCGATTCCATAAGTCACTATCATACATGATATTATAAATATTTTAAATAAATCTGCAATATATAAAAAAAAGCCGCTTCAGGCGTCATATAAAAATAAAAAAAATCAAATTAATTTTTTTAAATTAAATATGGAAATTAATTATATAGCAATACGTTTAATCTTTTTAATCAAAAAAATCATTATACACTTTTGTTATAATAAATATATTGTATTAATTCAAAAAAAAAGGATTTTTATAATACGGAGCGGAGTATCTTGCCAACAGGACTTATATTTGCTACAGTGTATCGAACTCTAGCAATATCCTATATGAATGTAAAGAAAAAAAAGAGAATAAGTAATTATTTTCAGATAACGTCAAAAAAAATTTTTTGATTTTGGCACAGGAACTGAATATATAAGATATTAATCACTAAAATTAATTAATTAAAATTATTTCAGCCACATCATTGAAACATTTTTCATAATACCAACCATTCATCTCTATTTTCATCAGAAACGCCTTTATTACATCCAGCATTGACACAAGGTGGATAATAATTATTTTCTTTCTTAATAAAGATAACATGAAACGGTACACTACTACTAAAATATTCAACCTAAAAAAAAAAAAAAGGAAATATAAATTAATTTTATTTGACTTAATAATTTAATTCAAAAACAGACATTGTCAAAAGTGCAATCAATAACAACATAACAAAAACTACACAGAAATTATTAATACCATTATATTATCTATTAAAATGTTAATATCTATTTCTTTATACTTTTTATCACTGTTGTTAATAAATTAAATTTAATTATATTATATTTATTTATATGACAGATATTACATATATCGAATTATATTGAATTATGATCAAGAGTTTTATCTTTACCTAAGTGTTGTCTTTTTCATGTTTCCGGAATCATATTTTAACATATTCATAGGACATTAAATATTTATTTTAAAAAATTAATAAGTTAAATAATGTCTTAAATGAAATGCAGTAATGCATTAGATATATACAGTACATTAGATATATGTATACATACATACCGGAACAATCAGCACTCTCTAAGTGATTTCATAATCGTTCTTCAACTGCTGCTTTTTGGCAACATAACATTAATTTTTACCCTAGATATGTAAAATAACTTGAGTTTTGATGACATGTATAGTCAGAAGGATCAAACGTGCAGGGAAATCGAGAGTACCTTAGTAATTATAGTTCGCTTTTTGAATTTTGTGAAAAAAAATATGGTTACAGTTTATTGAATATAAACAAATTTAAAAGGTAATTTATATAAAAAACTCTATGTATATAATAGAAAAGAGCCCAAAGGTGTAAATGATTATATTTAAAAAACAAATTTAATTCGACATGAAAATGGGGTCACATGCTTGAATTCATTATACAGTCACATGCTTTGAATTCATTATGTGGTCACATGATTAAATAAACGCGAAGATCAAATTAAACAAATAAACAATGTAAACAAAACAAACAATTTAAACAAATAAACAAAATAAACAAAATGACAATTATTTATTTTCATTATTAATATGCAAGTAAACAAAAAAAAATATATAAAAAGGGTACTTATACGTTTTTATTTTTTTTTACACTTTTTCTCATCTCTCTTACTTACTATTATATTAAAAAAACTTTTGCTTGATATTTTATTATAGTTAGTTTATCCCTTTAGATTTTAGTTTTTCTTTTAAAAATGGCACCAATTACTAGATCAACTGCAAGAAGATTAGGGCTCCAAGTTGAAGATGTCAGTCCTTTTTCACCAGCTGCTATCCGTCCACTTCCTGATAGAAGAAGAAGAAGAAGAAGACCTGTACCAACACAACAACAACAACAACAACAACCATTAAATATCAGGATTACGTGGAGCGGATTAACTCCTAGACAATCTGGGAATTCTGTTGAGGCCCGTGTGGCCAACTTGTATGCAGAATTACCATCTATGTCCATTAACGGACTGCCTGTCTTGCTTAGAGAAAGTGCCTTTAGACTCTAAGTTTGGCAGGTGGTATTTGGTGAGAGTACTCTAGTCTTGGATGGTGGCTAGAGACTCTCAATTATTTTTTTTCTGGTGGGCTGCATATAAGATTTGTGTGAAAATTTTATAATGTATCCTTTATTTGTTTGTTTATTTTAAATTTATCTTTTTTTTTTTATTTTATAATCTAAATTTTATCTTTTTTTATTTTCTTTTTTTTTAAAAAAAATTTAAATTTTAAATAAAATGATTGTTTATTGGAGATTGTCTATGGAGTGTTAGGTAAGTATAAAATTAAAAAAAAATTAAAAAAAATTAAAAAAAAAATTAAAATTTAAAAAAATTAAAAAAAAATTAAAAAACATCAAAAAAATATATATTTACAATAGTTTTTCTTTTTTATTTTCTTTTTTCAATTCTTTTTTTTTATTTCTTTTTTTAAGATAGTTTTTTTTTCTTTTTTTTTTTAGGATAGTTTTTTTTTCTCTTTCTGGGTCACAAAGGGTACTGACGTCCTCGCCGTGTGACCTGGGTACTATTTCTTTACGAAAATAGTAGCTGACAGGTACCCAAATTTAATTCGGTAGAATATCTAAAAGATTTGAATAAAGAAGTAAGCAATATAAATCTATATGGGAAGTTTTAGTTTCAATTTTGTTTAAAGTTATTTATTTTATTAGAACATGAAAATCATAATTTATAAAAACGAAATGGCGAATTGATCGTACCGCAAAATGCGCTTGGCCAAAAAAAAAAAAATTAAAAAAATTTCAACGTGAAAATAAAAAATATATTTTATAAATACAATTATTGATACAATTTATTATATAACTGATCCAATTACAATAAAATTACATAAAATAAAATGTATCAAATAACGAAATAAATAATTGTTTCGAAGCTTGTTAATTAAAAAAATCAAATAATAATAAAAATGACTAAAGAATAATAAAAATAACTAAAGAATTAATAAAATATAAATTTAACTACGTGCATCGGTAATATCGTGAGGGATGTTTTGGGTCAATAATGACGCTTTTTTATTTGGAGGATAGAATAAAGACTATAATTATATAAAGAAATGCATGCGTCGGTGCTACCGAACCATGAATCAGTGATAATTGTTCTACCACTACGAAACCATGGTTCTACTAATCTTAACATAGATGCGACGGTTGCCGGGTATTGATTTGACTATTTTTTTTTATAGCATCTTCCGAAGGTTCTACTGGATCTAGTCTTAAGAACAAATTAATTTGAGCATCTGCAAGGGCTTTGAATTCACAACCAATTGGATGTGGTTTCTGGATATTTTTCGTTTGAATGGACCTTTATCAACTTTGCCCATCCATTTGCACATTGATTCATCCATGCAAAGGTAAGGACCGGGTAGAATAGCTTTTGTAAGATTTTCATTAAATGCGTCTGTGCAAAAATGAAAGGGATCATTTTTCGGTGCTTCCATTAATTTCAAATATTTCGAAATCGTTGATGTGGCATGTATTGATCAAATGCCAACGAAATGTTTCTTGTTTAATGGACCAATAATCACGAATATCGGCACATTTTATGTATGTCATAATTGTTAAAATACTGATAAACCTCATGAATTCTGTCCATGTTAAATCACTTCGCTCATGTTCACATTCATGCGCACATCTATTTGTTGATGGAATTACTACTGACATTATAAAATCAATAGGCATAAAACACTCAAAGAACTGTCCGGGTGTTGCATTAGAAAGTTCGGCAATAAGTACAACTGATGAACTGGAATAAGAGTGTGACACTTAACGAGGAACAATTTTATTAATCCATCGTATATTATTTGCATTATGAATTGCTTCTTTATCCTCAACACTATCACTATCAGTATCTGTCCGTTTTGCTCCTTGTTTTCTCTTCGTCACTCATATCTTAGTTAGTGTCTGCACTAATACAAACTTCATACGACCCGCCAAGATCTCAATTTCTTTTTTCTGTTTGTGATTCAAGACAAATTTTCCAACGGTTATTGCCTGGTGCTACTTGTAAAATGCAAAAAGTTGTTTAGTCTTCCATAATTCTTCCAAAAGCAGTCGGGCAGTGTTTTCACCTACAACTGAACTCAAAACAAAAACCTTGGTGCCTTCTTTAATATTTGAAGAAATCCGTCCCATTTCAAGATTGGGGGGGGGGGGGGGAAGTCAAAAAGTCTGTAAACGTGTAAGAAAAAAAAGAACTTCTATATTCCTATGCATACCCTATATTAATAAGCACTCATATTTATTTTTCTGCGCAGCTGATGTATTGGTCTCTTAATTTGTGACTTCGAAGGAATAAAGGAGTTCATGACCACAAAATATTCAAGTTTTTATTTTACTTAAATTATTCAATAACCTTTTTAATTAGTGATTTACTCAATATGATCATTTTCACATTGTACCATTAAAAAAGTGTGTTTAGAAATATATTCGGATTGGGATCGCAATACATTAACTAGTGATGATATAGTGATCCAGAAAAAATGTCAGTTCACATTTCATCTTTCAGGATGAGACTTAAAAATAATTTTGTTTGTACATTATTTGTAGAACTTGTTCATAAAAAACCTCCAGTGGATTTACAAAACAAGAAAATTCTTGTCAATATTGCAAATAAAAAATCATTTCCTAACAAATTCTGAATTCTCCAAAGTTTATTAAAGAAACAAATAAGCATATCCGAATAAAAAAAGCAATATATCTAAAAGATAGTTCTGTCTTTGATTTTATGCTTTGACCATCTAACGATAAGACATCAGTTATAAATAGTTCTTTCATAATATTTTCAGAATCAGTGTTAACCAACCAGAATATATAATTCTCGCAGTAAAACCACTGACACTACTGAGGTTGTTTCCTTAATAAATAAAGCAGTTACTGAAAAATTTAATAAATTATGATGAAATTGATATTCTCCTATATCTCTCAAATGTAATCTTACCAAAAACGAATTTCTTTAATCTCTTGGGATTTCTAGCTAAACCAGAAAAAGAGATCAATATAAAAATTATAGATCCTATCCTTTGACATGTGAAAAATGTAATCTGTAATAAGGATAAAGAACTCAATAATTATATCTGAAACTAATGGAGTTATTTAGTGCAAAAACCAGAAAAGAAACCACGATCAATTCTGGTGTTAAAATCTACTTTAAACAATGTGGGAAATGTATTATTATTGATTTATTGGTGATAAGGTATTAGGATCAAATCTTCATTAAGCGACATCTGATCTGGGAAAAATTTTTGAAAAATTTAATAATATTATTCAAGGTAAAAAACTTATAGTTATAAATAAAACCAGTATGTCTAGTAGAGAGTGGCATAGGCTTAATGGGTATCTTAAATCCATTATAACGGAAGGAAAGATAAGTATAGAGTGCAAAGGACTTGAAACTTTAAGAATAAATGATTTCAGTGGATTCATGATTCCACTTAAAATAGAAACGGGTGATGCTCGATAGTATGTTTTGATGTTGTAAAAGTAATACAAAATATTTTGGCAAATTATAAAAAACTTTAGACTATTCTGATATAGCATGAGTGGTGATGGCATATCTCTTTAGTTGTGATCTATCGAAATGGAGACTAGGGAAACTCCCCATTACCAAAATGCAAACAGAAACAGTGATAAAATAACTTCCAAATTCTATTCACTTTATAAAACAATATATTAAATCATGGTCTCAAAATCAAATTAATAAATCAATCTGTAAAAATTTATATCAAGATTATCTTATTTGGTATGGAAATGATGACGAGGATTGAATCAGTAATAATCAATTTAAAGGTTTTCTTCTGTCTATAAAAATTGAGAAAAAGCAAGTATGGGTTAATGGGAAAAAGGTAATGGGTGTATATTCTTGATCGCTTCAAGATTGTAATTAAACTTCGTGAATCAGTAGGTGATATCGAGAAATTTTCGAACTCGCCTCAGGCTAAAATATTTATCAATACTTTCACAGATATTCCTGTATTTGATATATCCGAAATTATAACTCCTGAATCAAAAAAAGAGATAACTGAGTTATCAAGTGCCAATCACATCAAAAAGGATAAAGATATATTATCCACTCCATCCATTATCAATATGATCCAAGATCTCTTTGGCTCGATAATAGAACAAGATGAAAGTTCAGTTATTTCGTCATCTAGGTCTACCGATCTATGATTTTTGAGATCATATACATAAAACTTGTGGACAATAAATCTGAACCTCTTTCTGAGATCATTGAACCTATAAATGATGAACCCGAATATCTCCAGACTTACCTGTAAACGATGATCCAAAACCAGTAATGAAAAAGTACCTCCTGATTAAGCATCATTTCCACCTAACTATTTAACTTGAGAAGAGCGGAAGAAGTATCTGAGGCAATGGGTCATCGATCATGGAAAGGATTTAGATTAATTTGTGACCATAACTTAAGAAGATAGGCTCAATTCAATTCCGTCTAAGGATAGGATGAAGACTGATGCTCGAATATGTGCTATGCAAAGGAAGCCGAAGAAGACCACAAAGAATATATGGGTGTGATAGATTGATAGGAGAAGAAATTATTTGTCATGATCTCGAATTATATTATCATAACTTGATGCTGATAAGAAATGGAAAAAAATGATTAGCACACTTCAAGGGAAAGGTATACTATAGTAAGATATGTATATAATAAAGAGCGAATAAGGTGATTTTGTAGGTAGAATTTTTTGTTCTCTATATATGGATAATATAAAATTTGGAAAAACAAAGAATATTAAGAATATTTCAGTTCCCACCTAAAGTATAATCTCTATCACGTCTCTCTATAAAAGCCTATACTTCTTCTATCTTTCTCTTTCAGCTCAGAGAAAATTTATTGACATGTTTAGAGTAATAATCCGTATAAGATAAGGTGAGTTCATTACATATACTACAAGGCGATTTTAATAATTTGTTACAACCGGTTAGACAGTACAGACTCGTCCACATACACTTCCATTTGTTTTAAAATGTGTACAGGTGAGACGATCCATGTCAAATATTTTTACTTTTATTACAAGTATATCAGAATATTCAAAATATGTAAGAAAATAATATATAAAAATTAATTTAAATTTTGGTGGAGAAAATATATCATATATATAATAAAGATTACATATACCGATACTATATATATATATCACATACCCAATAGAGACATTTGAGAAAGTACTCAATCTATTAACCAAGAGAGAAATTAATTTGGATAGACCAATATATCGGAGACTAATGCGTAATGGTTTCAAGTATATTAAGAATTTAGTTGAATTACCAGATCGAGCAGATCAGATTCTTGAATGTTTTATCTTATCCCACTATAATACCACCAATTAATATAATGCAAAATAGACCTGATATTTACAAGAAATGGTTTATAAGTATAGAAACATACTTGAATTTATTTCAAATATTATAGACATACATTATGCTTGCTATGTGAAGAAAAAAATAGAAGTAATTAATTAATAATTACTTATAGCCTGGGACCTCACCCCCCAAAGCCAGCATTGTACATTTTACATGTCCAAGGGATTTTTTAACTGTCCAAGGTCCGCGTCTGTACCGTCCATAGCCTTAATTAACTTATAAATATATATTGAACCTTTATAAATATATGTAAAAATCAATTCTAAACAATTTTAATTAATAGCTCAAAGAAAATTTTATAATAGAATTTTGCGTTGTTTACGTTTTAAAAAAAAAGTAATTTTGGTTTAAGCACTGTTCAACAGTGTCCGTGTACAATACTACCCAAAGCTATAAATTTATTTTGCTGTATTCTGAGTTAGTAAATTTTAAATCGATAAATCATATCGCAATACTATTCGCATCACCTGCTTAATATTTAACAATTATTTTTTCGATAAGCTTTTTGAGTGAAGCTATGTCCTCTTTAATCCTATTGATATTTTTTGGGTATCTTATTTCATAGGATTATGGATCTTATAACTTTCACTCCTGTGTTCATTTTTCGATAGATTCACATTAACCACACTTATTCAATTTTTAAGTATACATATGTTAATCCAAGATAATTAATTTTGATTTGAAAAAAAAAGAATTTCTATAATATATAATATACTTCGATTGGTCATAATCTATTAAATCTTATTATCTCATTAATATCTTCCGTTATAACAAATATCATCAAAACTTACAAACTGACCCTCAAATTTCTCTATCTGAGTTTAACAGATACGCAGATGAATTAACTAAGGACCTTTCTCGTAGAGCTAGAGATCAAGCGTGAAGACTTCTTAGACAAATAAGATATAGTGAAGAACAGGTACTTGTCTTTATTCCTTTCCAGAAATCTGGACGACATATACCAAAGGTGAATTCTATCAAAGAAATGGCTCAAAACATTCTAAAAAACAATAATTTACCATATATTGATATAAATGAAGATGCATCTTATATTGCTTATTTGGATAATGAAAAAATAGCCACTGACATCACCAGATCCTCACGACTTTCATATCTCCGAAGAGAATTGCGTAAAAATGGAACATTTGATGAAGTGATTGATGCAACAAATGATCGTTATCTAACTGAAGAATCGAACTGTCTTCAAAAAATAAGACGAGAGGAACTCACAACTTAAAAACTAAACTTTCCCAATTATTTTATATCTGAAGTCAAACTCAAAAGACACCAAGAATATTGTACATTTGAGCCTCCTACTGAACAAGCCCTTGTTAAGATAATTATAATGCTCTGTTTGCGTCCTTCTGAAGTTACAACTCTTCATATTACCAATGGATACATAACAGAGTATGCTAAAGGTCGTGGAATAGATAAAGGTGAACCTCAGAAATTTTGTCCTATGGAGAAAGACAAGAATCATTACTTATTTGGATTCAGAAAGCAATTGCGAATGATGCTTTGCGAGATCCAGGAATTCCAGGTGTAAAGTGGTTCAATTTATTTCGAAAACCTTACGGAATTAAGCCAAGTGACTTGCGTGAATTGGGTGCAAATTATACTGCAATGATTTATGAACCTGAAAATCCTGGTGAAAGATTTAATATTATGAGAAAATCCTTGAGACATAATCCAAGATACATATCACCAGTAGAACTTTATGCTCGTGTATCTTATAGAGCCATTGGATGTGAGACTGTGCATAAAATTACCAAAGACGATCACATATGGCTATACCCCCATCATCTAACCCCAAAAATAGAGAGTAGTAGTTTAGATGATATCATGAATCTACGATGAGAGTTAATAAGTGATCAAGTATTACTGATCACGCTTCTCTACTTTGCCATATGTGTATCACCAGAATCAGATTCAGAGCTAGATGATGAAGATGAAGAATCACTAAAAATTGGTTTTTTTCTACTAACCCCGCAATGTCTTTTGGTAATATCTGGATTTTCTATCAAGTTTAAAATCTCTTAGGTTTTACTATCTTCATTAATTGATGAAGAAAAATCACAATTTTTTTACAAGATACTTGTTTAACAATTTTAGATACCGTATCCTCAGTATTGCTAAAATCCAACTCTTTTGCTTTTTCATAGGAAATAGTTGAAATATTCGAACCAGTATCAACTATACATTCTATGTCTTTGAGTATACATTGCTTAAAATTTTTTACAAATTCTTCTACTGATTTGGGATTATTATTTTCGACCATTGAATTAAAATTTATTTTTATTAAAATACAATCCAGAAATAAATATACTATAATAATAACGGCATAATGAAAATTCTAACTTATAAAATAAAATATACCATTTACTGTTATGTTGGATTCTGGTGCTAACTATAATGTTATAGGAGCAATCCTAGCAAAAACCCTTGACTTAGAAAACAATACTTCCTATATAGAAATTAAAAAAACATTCGGATAGTCTATCTCCATTAGATGAAACAATATTAGGAACAATACACAATCTAAATATTCTCTTCCAAATCAAAGATAATATATGGAAACAGGTGGAAGTTACCGAAATTTTTGTATCAAATAAGCCCAAGCTTGAATCTTTATTGATATAAGGTGGACCATGGTTTCAAGCAAATGTGGCAAAGATTGAAATGGGAAATTGCAGATTAAGTGTAATTAAGGAAAGCACATAATTTAAGGGTCTAAAATTAATTATCCGCCTAACACCAAACATGGATACTGAATACGATATTGAAGAAAAGGAGGAATATAATGAATTTATCAAAGAATATGGTTGGAGAGAGGAATGGGATTTTGATAACCCCAAATTTATTCCACAGTGGGATGATTGGAGAAGATATTAAATTACAATAGCAGTTAAATATTGGAGAGAAAGTTCAACGATTTGTAAACAGTTTACCAGGTATAAAAAAACAAATTATCATTATTTCATGAAATCAAAAAATCTGAAGCTTTTAAATTTCCTCAAATTTTAACATAGTTGCCTAATAACCCTCAGGATCTTGGAAATGAAATACGGATAGGTTATTTAAATAAATTCGGAGAAGAATCCGATTATATATATATAAACCAGCTTCAATGATAAGCGGAACATTATCATCTACTGAAAACGATTTTATATCTGTATTTAATAATTATATCAGAGAAGTATCGGGTTCAACTAATCCAGTACAAATTAATATATTTAAGAGTCTTATTAAATGAATTTTATCACTTAGTCCATTAAAATTAATAAATCGCATTTATATTTTTTTTTCTGGCCGAAGATATAAGATATAATGAATATTTAACCTTTAGGACTTGTTTTCGAGTTAATTTTTTATATATAATGGCGGTATTGTATAGAACAAATTTATACTATTCTTTATATATTTTTATGTTTTAGGCCAAATAATGTATTTAAAAATATATATATAGTAACAGTATCTACACAAATTTCAAGCAGAATATGCGTTAAATGTCATTATTGGTATAAAGGGTCGGCTCTTACTCATTTAAAACATCAATTATATTGTTTTAAGTATCCATGTATTAGAAAACGAGTAGTATTAATAGTTAGTATTTCATTCATTGTATCAGAAGCGAATAAATTCGGTAAAAATAATCCAGCGTGCAGTCTTTATCAAGCAGGTGACCCATTTATGAAGTATGTTCAGGATTGGTATTATCAAAATGCAAATAAATTTCAGATTGTATTTTAAGAAATTGGTAAAAATAAATTATGATAACTTAATTGTTTAATTGTATAGTAAAATGAAATGACTCGATTATGGTTAAGTTAATATGAAAATATTATATCACGGTTTAGATAGAATGGAATTAATTATTTTTTAGTAAAGAAATAAGAAAGGAAGAATATTACTAGGATAGCTCTTCAATATTCCATGCATCTATACTACCAGTAAATTTCCATTCGTGATCCTTGTCATTTGAGAATGGTCCACGATTCTTATCTTTTTCAGATGAAGCCTCGACAGAGAATGAAAGGTTAAAAGTTTTTACATCATCAAACACTTCAACACTAAAACCGTGGCGAGCATATGAAGCCCCGCTATTCCTTTCTTGTCCATTTACCATGACTGCAAGCATACCATATGTACCTGGCCACATTTTGTTATGAACCCAAACAGTATGACCTGCATAGTAAACATAGAGTTGTTAGAACATACAATTAATTTTTTTTCCAAAGTGTGATCTTTTAAAAAGTATTTACTTTCAATGAGTGGCACAAGTGTTAGGCCAATCGTTAGATTAAAGATGATGGCAATGATTAGGTTGTATTCATGATGAGTACTAAACAGTAAAATGTTGATTAGGTATGAACAAATTTGATTATAAAAATTTATTTATTTTTTTTTCTTATTCTCGAAGTATATATATTGAATTCCGACAACAAAACCTTCAATATCCAAATATGCGAAATCGGTCCACATGGTGCACATGGTCCACATGGTCCACATGAGTTTGTTCTTGAATTTTTTTATTGAAAAATATTACTGTTTGTATGGGCGATCTTTTACGTATTAAATGAGCCAAAGTTCATAATCGATCTGCAGAACAACCAAAATTACGCCATATGACGTGCAAAAGGTTCATTTATTTATAGATGCATCAAAAAGATAACTATTTTGTCACATGAACCATAGAACGCATACAGATCATTCTATGGTGCAACTCATCTAAAGACCTTATAAAAATTGATTTTATTTAAAAGCCAATAACTTATTAATTAAAATAGATATTCAAAAAATAATCCGTTAAAATTGAAAAGGAAGACCATAGGTATATTTTTTACGGATTACTTTATTTTTAATATATAAAATAAAAAAAGTTATTGAAGTTTAAAGTACATAGAAATTTTATATGTTTATATATATAAAAAAAATAAATTTCGGAATGTATTTGTCAAGTGATTTATAGTTTCAACCAATCAGATTTTAATAATTTTATATAAAATCATATGTAAATGCATGCATAGTTATGTATTTCTAAACGAAAAAGTTTATGCAAAAATCAAGAACGTGATAAAAATGGTTCATTTATTAAAAAAGTTAAAAATATTGAAGAAATTGAAGAAGATAATGATGAAAATAATGAAAATAATATTGATGATAATTGGTTTGTAGAAGAGAATGAAAGATTTCAAAGATTACAAAAATTAGACCTTACTTGGAAAAATGAAGCAGATAAAAGTATAGGCAAGCGTGGCTTATATATGACCGGAAAACTTCCAAAATCAACATATTATGATAAATATGGTCCCAATGGTTCATTTACCAAAGCAGCAAAAAAATACCATGAAAATTACATTTTTTACAAATGAGACAGCAAATAATCAGATTAATGAATTACAAGAAATTGATAATGAAGAGAATGAATTATGGAAATCTGAAAATATTAATGAAAAAATAAATATTTTGAAGAATGAATTAATTAACTGTTCAGATATCAATATTGTTGAATATAATAAAAAACGTGCAATATTTGAATATTCGAAACATTTAGATGATAATGGGAAAGGCAAATTAAAAGCAAGTAAAGAAGTGGCACAATTAATTTTTTTAGAATCAATACCACATAAATCATATTTAATTAGAAAATGGGCCAAATTTTGGCTAAAATATAATACACTTCCACTTAGTTTAAGAGGAAAACATCAAAAAATATTTCGTTTAGTTGATGATGAAGATATAGCGAACAAATGTCATTCATGAATTAAAATGCAAGGAGAATCTATAACACCAGCGGCATTCAAAGAATATATTGAAAATTCTTTATTAATTGATTGTAATATATATGAAAAAAAAACAATAAGTATACAAACTGCAACTAGATGTTAAATATTCTTGGTTATTTTTATCAAACACATAAACAAGGAACATATTGTGATGGGCATGAACGTTCTGATGTGGTGGAATATCGGAAATCTTTTTTAAACCAAATTTTTGAATATGAAAAATTCATGGCAAAATATGATGGTGAAAAGATGGAACGAATTGCACCAAATTTAATTGAAAATGAAAAAGAGATTATCTTAGTCACACATGATGAATGTATTTTTTATGCCAATGATGGTAAAAGAGGAATTTGGGCAAAGTCCGGTGAACTTCCATTAAGAAAAAAAGGCAATGGACGATCAATTATGGTTAGTGAATTTTTATGTGAAGAAATTGGTTTACTTAAATTAAATAATAATCAAATAAAAAATCATCCAAATATTTTCGAAAGAGCAAGAATTTATTTACAACCAGGAAAAAATCAAGAAGGTTATTGGACAAATGAGAAATTAGTTGACCAAGTAAAAACAAGAGCAATACCAATTTTTAATATTTTATTTCCAAATTGTATTGCCTTATTTGCTTTTGACAATTCTTCAAACCATGGAAACTATAGTCATGATGCAAAAAATATGAATTTTAAACCTGGAGGAAAACAACCAAAGATGAGAGATACAACATTTGGCCCTAATAATCAAAGACAAAGCATTGTATTTCCTAATGGTGAGCCAAAAGGAATGAAGCAAGTACTAATTGAACGTAATTTATGGAAAGATGGTTTATTGGCAGATTGTGAATTATGTAAAAATAAAGTAGAAGATATTGCCCGAAATGATTGTTGTGCACGAAGAATTTTATCTCTTCAACAAGATTTTATTTTACAAAAATCAGCATTAGAAGAAATAATACATGAAGCAGGACATTTGTGCATCTTTTATCCTAAATTTCATTGCGAAATAAATTATATTGAACGTTATTGGGGTGCTTGTAAGCACTATGCTCGTGAAAATTGTGATTATTCATGGAAAAATTTACAAAAAATTGTACTCGAAGCTTTGGATAAAGTTGATTTAATTACAATACGAAAATATGCAAGAAAAGCATGGCGTTATATGCATTTATATCAAATGGGTATTAATGGAAAATTAGCTGAATATGCAGCAAAAAAATATAAATCACATAGAAGAATTCCAGATCATGTATTAAATGAAATTAAATAGAAATTTTTAATAAAATTTTTTTAAAAAATTGGCATCGGCGATTTTCATATTTCAAATCACATGAAAATCATATGAAATCATATGAACTATTAACCAGAAAATTTCGGACTCTTAGGTCTTTAGATGAGTTGCACCATAGGAAAATTAACAAATCTTTCGTTACGTATACTTAATTTTTTTATTTGGAAACTAAATACTACAGAAAAGTAATACTACAATATGACGTTTATCATTATTTCTTCAAGACTATGAAATTTCATTAACTTATACAAAGTATTTTATTTCCTTTATTGTAATCATCAAATTTTATTATCATTTATTTTAGTTTATTATTAATTTTATTAATAAAATAAATAAAATCATTATTTTTATAAAATTTAACAGTCAAGTACTTATTATATTTTTTTTATTAATTATTTTTATCAAAATCTGAAGTTACCAGGAGGCAAACTGTTTAAAAAAATTTGATTTCTTTATATATTTAAATTAATTATAAATAATCTTTAACTAAAGATTTTGAGGTATGCTAATAAACTGTACGGTAAGAAATGCTATTTTGTATTGTACGATTTCAAATAAAATAATTTTATTTAATAAAAGTTCGTACGGTTATTCTTTTAAATGTGATCATCATGCATTATTTTTTAGAAACGTATTATTTTAACTTTATTATCATGTCAATAATATTTTTAACGACAAAGTTACAATGTAAAGGTCAGTCTGTATAGATCGAGTTGTAAAGCAGAGACGAAGAGAGAGGACAAGAAATTTTAATAATTTAAGTTTATGAATTCGTAATGCTGCGGAGTAAAATATTTCGAGAAAGTTTTTCGGCTTTTAAAGCGAATCCAAACATTAGGATAATGGATTCGGTCAGATCCTGTAATCAGAAATAATGCTATCAGCAGAACACTTATATATGCATTTTTATTATTATTTCCAATGTTATTTTTTATACTGACTTTGAATTTCAGTAGGAATTGAATAACGAGATTAATAATTCCTCCAAAACAAAAAATCAACAAAAATCAACAAATATGCATAAATTATTATAGATTATGTGTATATATACTATATCACAGGTAGTATTTTTAGTTTTTTTTTTTTTTTTTACTAGTGATTTTAGTGACGGATATATAACCAAGAAAGAAATAGAACAGCCTAAAACTCGTAAGGAAGTGTCACTGGTAAAAATTTTACCTTGAAAGGTCAAAACTTTGCAAAATATGTTCTATAATGAATGATATTTATTGAATAATTTCAACTCATTACACATTAGTCAAGGTCAACTAGACGTAATTGTTATTATGAGATAAGGGATAATAAAATAGCATTGACCCTTCCCCCCGATAGTGTTTACAATGTTCATATGACATATGATTAAATATTTCTTGAAATTTTTTTATGGAAAATTTTGATCGCAGTTCGTCCCGTCATCATCACAGCAGGAGCATGTGCACGATTGGGTATTCTGATTGAAGATGCACACCTCGGTCCCTGTAATAAATATTTTCAGCAAATTCAGCAAATTATAAACCTTTTAAAAATGAAAATACTTGTGATTGAATATTAATTACCTTTATCACAAAAAGGTGCTGGATCAGGACATTTTTGAGCATCGACAGATGGTGCAAAACCGGCAAAAAACGCAATAGCGATTAACAGGATAATTATTTTTGTATTAATAGCAACCATTTTTTTTTTTTTTGAACCTTGAACTTTGGAAATAATTTAGACTTCTTTTTATATTTGAATAGGCTTCATTGACAGATCGTCAATTAGAGAGTTAATTTCAGTAAGTAATTCCGAAAGTATTATTAAATATTTCACGAAGAAACATTATTACCCTGATAAAGCAAGTCAAATAAATTCTCAAACAAAGTCAAAACCACCAATATAGAATATAGTTGTAATTGGCGTATCTTCCTTTATGAAGCACTTATTCCAAGAGAAAATTGCCGAAATTTCTCATAATTTTGTGGAGTGCCTTGCGTTTTGGAATTTTTGTGACGGTTTAAATAAATCTAAAAATGTAAAAAATTTTCAGGATATGCACTAAATTCGTTATTGTGTTTAAAAATAAGGGTTAATATATTTAGCCACGTTGTAATTATTTGCATTAAAATTTATGGAGAAATATCATTCCATTGTATTTCTTTTAAAATAAAGTTTGACACCTTTTTTTTTTTATTCATGTATATGCGTGTATGCAGTAATAAATTAAAAAAATGATCATCGTGCAACTTGTCTGAATGATTACACATATTTATCACGTTCTACCTTTGAGATAAATTTCTGATAAGTAATTTTTAGTCAAAATTCTGACAAATTTCATTAAAACTCAGCATTCTATGAATTTTATTTCAACAACTATAACTTTAAGCACTTCTGAGTTTTAGCTGAAATTTATTAATGGTCAAAATTTGGCTGAATTTTTGCTGAATTTTATTAATAAGCTGAATTTTTCAAATTTCAGCAGAATTGATGCTAAATTTCAGCGCAAATTCAGAATAACTGAATTTTAGCTCAAATTTATTGATAGCTGAATTTAGGCCAAAATAAAATCAATAATAAAATATTCTAAGTAGAAAAGGAAGGAATTATAAAATTAAATTAGTTTATCAAAAAGAAGTTTTAGATTCGTTTATTCTGCATTAGCTTTTAATGAAAAGTTATTGGTTGGAGTTGATGGAAAGGTATTTATTCTCTCTTTTATTTGGCTTGTAATAATAATAATAGTTAATAATAAAATTATAATTCATAAATATAAGTTTCAATGATTTCAATATATGTATGACTTTATAAGATTAGAAGATGACAAACGTGATTTAATTCTAATATGTGAATACAATGGATTCACACTAGCCATCCGAATAGGAAAAAGAAGTCATTTCATTTTGATAGGAGATATAATGAGATCAATAGTATTATTAGATTATAAAGAAACTGGTGGAGTGTGGTGGAGGAAAAACTTTAGAATTCGTTACTCAAGATTTAAATAATTGATGGATTAATAATATCGAAGCATTAAATATGATGAATTCATTGTGTCTCGAAGAAATGTTGATATTTCGGATGTTTTGTTAAAAGATAAATTGGGATTCTATTAATTGATTTAGATGCGTAAATATTACAGTAATCTCTATTATTATATTTATTTAATATTTGTTCATTTTAAAATATTTATTTTAGGTTCATTGGCAGCAAGATTATCGGAACCAATAATAAAAATAGAATCGAGTACATCTTCCGAATTATAATCCCTATCATTCAAGAACGATTTGATAAATTAAAAAATTTACAAGATGCATATCAAAATTTTATGGTTTGGATATTTAATCGTAAATGCTGTATTGTTATATATTGTTGTATATTATTTACATTATTGATATTATTGTATATATTGTATATATTGTATATGATATATTAAGTGATGGGATATTAAAATAAAAGATACAGTAAACCTGAAGTAGCATTAGAAAAATTTTGATATTTTTGAAAATTTAGAGTTCTTAAATGAGATAAAATATTTTTGAATTATTATTATGCAAAATTTTTTTTTTGAAATATATAATATTTTTTAATTATAATTTACAAAAATGCATGAAAACCAATTCCTTTATTAATTCCATCCGAATTTATGGAATAACAAAACCAATAAATATATGATGGTTTTGGATTAGAGATTATTTAAAAAATCATTTTGATAATATTATAATATAATCACATTTAATATAGTGCATCGAGATTTTCATCCTGGAAATATTTTATCAAAGGATTTTAAATTTAATAGGTGTATTTTGTGCGTTTCAGATTTTGGATTAAGGACAAAAATTCTAATAATTATAGAAATATCTTTGGTGTATTGCCTTATAAGTTTTATTATGATGTGCCAATCATGAGATGTTGGGATGCTCATCGGAGAATTAGATAAAAAATTGTCGTGATTATCAGGAAAAAATAATTTAAAAATAATATTAATGAAATTACGATTCAAATTGATAATGTGGAAAGTTTTTCTAAAAATAAGTCAAATGGGAAATTATGGAGGCTGATTGAATTCAATAAATACAACTCCACTTAATTAAGACACATCCAGAAGCAATTTATATTAGTAGACTTCTTAATTATCTTCCAAAAATGTAAGAATGAAGAAGATTTTGAAAAAAAAGGACTTAAAATGGAAACAGATTTGGTTATTTTTTTCAAGTGTTGGTAAGTAATTAAATATATTCTCTTAAAATGTTATATTTATTTTTTACAATAAGATTAATTATATGAATTTCATTTATCTTTATTTAGTTGCCTTTTTAAACTCAATTAATATTATTATATTTTTATGAATGAATAAATTTGTAATTGAAATTTTTTGATTATAATAAATAAATATTAAATAATCTTTTTTAATACAATTATTGTTTAATGTGTTTTTTTTTTATTTGCTAAAATCACAATATAAAATATTACAATTCAAATTTGAATTTACAAAGAGTTATATTATATTTCAAAAAGAAGTTGTATTGATGAATATGATATTCGTGAAAATGATAGACTTTACAGCGTAATAACCATATATACCGTGTATTTTATTTTGCTATTATCCAAAGTATCTTAACCATAGACTGAAATGATTTCTAAAAACTATTTGTAAATTTCGATCGTTTTTTTTTAAGTAAAGTTTCAATTTTCACAAGTTGTAGATCTTCTTTCTTTTCTATTTATAAATATTTCATTGGGAAATTATTTAAAATTGATATTTTTGGTTAGATAAGATCGTTTGATGTCTTTTTTTTTTAAGATTGGATGCGTTACAATTTGTGCAGTCAACGACTCAAAACTAATTTCTGAGCGTGATTTCGGAGTTATTAATTGCGTTACAGTTTAACAATTATTAAAAATAAGATATTATTTAATATTATTGGAATCTATAATTTATTGACGGAGAGAAGATTCAAGGAACTTAAATTAATTCCAAAAAACCCTCCCCCCTCAATTTTATATTATCTAAGTGTAGCGTAAACGCGTATTTACTTTTTTTTTCGCATGATTAAAAAGTTTGTAGTAAAATATGAATGATTTATTAATTAATAATGATATTTTTATTATTTTAGACAATTAAATAAAAACAGTGTTATTTTACGTTTTAAATGCCAAGTCTAACGAATCTATTAAAATTATCTTGACATAATCTTTAATATATAAAGAATGTGATCAAGTTATACGAACGCGAAACGTGTATCAAAGAATATGAATTAATTTAACTTAATTTAAACCCAAATTTCACTTTGAAAATTACACCATCAAGAATTCCCGCTGTACAATTTACAAAGACTCCTTTTTTGCGAACGACCAAATCGAAGGTGGCTCCACGATCGCCGAATACATGATTCTATAATATTGTATATATAATTAATAAATAATTCAATTTGAAAAAAAGACCAGTTTGTGAACTTAAAAAGAGATAAATATGATAATTTACTTGAGGAGAATTTAATACAGTCAAAGCAGATGTAGGGAAACACCTCAATCTGGAAATGCCTTTTTCTATATATATATATTTATATTATATTTATTTATTTTTTAAAATATCATAAATGTCGTTTATAAATTCGAGAAAATATTTGACATATTATACCTTTAGGAGATACTCCGCTAAATTCCCATGTAACTTTTACTTTCATTCTATTACTTCCGGACTTTCAACTTTAACCGGACCAGGTATAATTTGTTTGACGGTCACAGAATTCCCGGCATGAATAGTGGTAACGAAGAAAAGAAATGCAAGAATAAGAGTTAAAATTAGTTGACGACAATTCATGATGTATTGTTGTATTGGTGTATTGATGTATTGAGAGAAAGAAACTTTTTTACGTTTGTTTATATATAATAATTTTAATATTATTTGCCAAAACGATCCTTTTTGTTTATCAAAAAAAAAAAATTATTTGGCTTAATCCTAAAAAGAAAAGTTTTTTTTATTTTTATAAGACAATAAGCATTTAATTATTTACATTTGTTAATATTTCTTTATTCATAAATCCATTAAAGTAATTATAATTCTAGGAAATGATTTTATTTACTTCCTCAATACAATTAAGGTAGGCAACTGAAGATATAACATTATGTTGATGACATGTGATGATGTTTATTCAGGTATTGTAATATAAACTATATAAATGATAAATCAATAATAATAATAATAATAATAATAATAATAATAATAATAAATATATAGTAATAATAATAATAACTAATAACTAATTTAAACTAATTTTAATATCAGAAACATCCATTTCTTCAAGTAATTCACCATCACCAGCTTTCTCTGCGGCAGAAGTTATATAGGAAATTGTTTTTTCGGCTGCTTTCTCTTCAACATCGGCTAATTTATTTATAGGATCTTTAGGTACTCCGGTAATTAAAACAAATTCTAAATTATCTAGTATAGACATCTAAATTTATTTTATAATGAATGAATGAATGAATGATTAAATTAATGATTAATGAATGATTAAAAAATATACCTCTATTTCCTCTATTTGATGTTGTTGTTGTTGTTGTTGTTGTTATAATTAAAATAATAAAGTAATAATAAAATAATGGAATAATAAAATTAGAATAATCTGAAATTTATCAAACATAATAATCATAAGTATAATCAATACCATCATTTAATTTAAGATTGCTAGTGGTATCAGCTACAAATATACCTAAATTAATAATATTAATAAAAATTAATCAAATTAATATTATAATTATAGAATGAAATAATTTAATAATTAAATATACAAATAATATATCATATATATATATATATATATATATATATTTAATTTACCATTATCAGTAGCAGAACTAACATCAACAATTGTAGAAGCATCCCCGATTACTAATATAGAATTAATAGCTGGTGATAATGCATTCAACATTTCTTTATCAAATTTTACTATAAGCTAAATATTATTATTATTATTATTATTATCATCATTAATTATTAAAAATTAAATATTTATAATCATTAAATTGTTAAAATACCTTTTCAGCACCATGAGCTAATAAAATAGCCACAAAATTTTCATATTTTGTTATAGCTTCTGTAATAAAATCTTCTCTTGTAGAATCAAATGACTATTTCACAAAATGTATATTCAATACATTTTAATTATTTTGGATAAGTAATAAATAAATGAAAGATATCGAGAGAGAGGGAGAGAATGATTCCCGATGTATTTCCGAGTACAATTATTTGTGTTATACAACATATGATAATAACAATAACAACAATTGTTAATAATAATAATGATAATAATTAAGATTTATCGAGGAACGGAAATATCCGATATTAAAAGAAAATTTATTTATAACAATAAAAATAAATATTTGGTTCAGAAAAAACACGCGCCTTAATTTCAATTCTCGATAAATTTAATAATGATCTTTTTTTTTAAAAATAAAAAAAAAAATTTTTGATTTATGTATTTTTCAAACCTTAAATTCATATCTCTCTTTCATCTCTTCTAATTGTTTTGTAGCATGGAAAATTTCTCCAATAATTAATACTTCTTGTTTTCCCATTTTAACTATTAATGTTTTTTACTAATATTTTTTATAATATTTTTTAATAATCAAAGAATTTTTAATAAAAAGAAAAATTCGGAAAAAAAAATTCTACCTCATTGTACCATGGATTATTTATATGATCTTCGTATGACATCTACAGTTGTGCAAATTCATACATATGATTGTACAATGAAAAACAATAATGTATACGAGAGATCTATATGTAAAAAGAACCGTACATCATCGTATTGAAACCTACAAATAATCTCGTGCGTGTTGAAACAGTTTTAAAATTTAAAAAGTTTTATAATTTAATTAGCAACTTAATAAAATTTATTAAATTAATAACTTAATAAAATTTTATTAAATTAGCAACTTAAATAAAATTTATTAATTAGAAACTTACTAAAATTGATTCATAAAACATCCTAATTTTATTTATGATAAAGTTTCATATTATTTAATATTATTAAAGACACATTAGAGAGTATGATGACATAAGGTTAAAAAAAATATCCTATAAACATCCAGAAAACAATGAACAAATCAACAATTTTTTTTCCTAATTTTAAAGTTTTTCGACATTTTATGGCTTGCATTAAATTTTAACCTAAAATAATATATATATAAATATATATAAATATTTAATGTGGCTGATCAGCTGATCAGGCTGACCACAAGTTTTAACTGGAGCCACTTTAACATGCACTGACATGTGATATTTCTATTATTATTTTTATTATTTTTATTATTATTTTATACGTATTATTTCTAAAAACGTTAGGCAGTATTTACGGAAAAACGAGAGAATAAACGAAAAAAAAATACGGATAATTCCGAAATATTATTTATACCGTTAACCAAAATTAGCATCCAAAAAAATATTGTAACAAATATTATATTTATAAACTTTATATTTTTATTATTATTTATTACTTTTTTTTTATTATTATTATTAAATTGTTAATGGAAATTTTTAATGAAAATGTATGAAAAATAGGTGACGATTCTTTTGCAAAACGAACAATATTACTGTTTTAGATACTTCGATCATTTAATAATGGAGATTAATTTTATTAATTTTATTAATTTTATTAATTTTTGATTTGATTTAGTTCTTTCTCCTTACTTATTTATTACTTACTTCTTACTTCTTAATTCTTTACTTCCTCAGACATGTTAATAAAAAACTTTGCATACCGCATGCGTCGTATGTATTTTTTTTTAACAAAATCCCCTTTCTCGTTTTACACACAAAACGTTTTAATAAATATCGAAGATTGAGATTTAATTATTTATTTATGTACGTACAATTTAGGTAATACTCGTGATGTTTACAGGCTGCAGGTTATTAACAGTTGTCACACCTCTTCTGGTAATAAAAATATTTTTTATTCAAATACCCCCATCCTTAACTTGCTCCTCTTGACTTGACAAAAAAAAAAAAAAAAAAATCAAAAATCAAATTTTCATTCCATCAATTAATTCTTCTTTCAAAACAAAATTATTAGAAAATACCATAAAAAATTTTATTGATATCATGCCTCAATTTTATGCTAACAACGGTAGCAATAGTGGCAGCCTTGAAAATGGAAATAGTAACGGTACTAGCGACTTGAAAATTGAAAATGTTATGAAATCATCTTATCTAAACCGAGGTAAGTATTTAAATATTCTATAACTGTAGTAATCTTGATTTTTTTTAAAAAAAAATACTAACTTTTTATAATCTCATTTTTTTTATAAAAAATTAATTTCTAAATTAGGAACTACCATGTCCCAATCCCTACGTAATTCCCTTAAACTTACCGGTCTTATGCCAGTAGCCGTGGAAAATCTCGATCTGCAAAAAAAACGTGCCTTACAACAATTACGTTCGAAATCTACCGATTTAGAAAAATATTTATTCTTGGCTTGGTTGAGAAATACCAACGTTAGATTATTTTATCAAATTGTTATTGAAGAGTTGGAAGTAAGCTTAAATTTAAATTTCTTTGAATAATTTTTTTTCTTTTGAATAATAACTATTTCTTTGAACTATTATTTCTTCCAAAATTTTTGAATTAATTAATTAATTAAATAATTAAAATAATTAATTAAATAAATTCTAGGAAACAACCCCATTGATTTATACTCCAACAGTTGGTACAGCGTGTTTAGAATATTCTCACATTTATCCTTTTCTCGCTCCACCCGGTGTACCGGATGGTCTTTATTTATCGATCAATGATAATTTATCAAATCTCAAACAAATCATTAAAAATTATCAACCTTATCCATTTGACGAATCATTCACACCTCAAATTGCGGTAATCACTGATGGTTCAAGAATTTTGGGATTGGGTGATTTAGGTGTAAATGGGATGGGAATTCCTGTAGGTAAATTACAATTATATGTGGCAGGTGCCGGTATCGATCCCAGAAGGACTTTACCCATTACTTTAGATTTGGGAACTGATAATGAAAAAAATTTAAATGATGAGTTTTATCTTGGATTACGTAGAAAGAGAGTTAATGATGAACAGGTTTTTTTTTATTTTTATTTTTTATTTATTTTTATTTTATTTTATTTATTTTATTATTTTCTTATTTAATAACTTTAATTTCAATAAAATTTATTTTTGTATTTTATAGTTTTATTCATTTGTAGATGCTGTGATAAAATCATTGATTGAAGTTTATCCTCATCTATTAATTCAATTCGAAGATTTTTCATCAGAACATGTAAATTTATTTATTTATTTATTTATTCATACTTTTAATTCATGATTTTATTTATTTATTCTTCTTTTTTTTTCCTAATTCATAAATTATTTATTTTAATTAATAGGCTTTTGAACTATTAGCCAAATATAGAAACAAGATATTTTGTTTTAATGATGATATTCAAGGAACCGGAGCTGTTGTTTTGTCTGGATTCATTAATGCTGTGAATTTGGTAAAAAAAGAAATTCCACCAACTCAACATCGATTATTATTCTTTGGCGCCGGTTCGGCGGGAGTTGGTGTCGCTAAACAATTATTGGAATTCTTTACAATTGAACATGGAATGTCGGAAAAAGATGCTAAAAAATTGGTTTGGTTCGTTGATACTAAGGTATTTATTATTGACATTATGGATATTTCACAATTCATTAATGTCAATTATTCCACACAATTTATTCTCCCAATTTATTTATTCGCAATTTATTCCACACGATTTATCACAATTTATTCACAATTTATTCACAATTTATTCTTAATAATGTTTAGGGTCTCATAACATTAGATCGAGGAGACAAATTAGCCAAACACAAAGTATACTTTGCCAGATCTGATAATGATGGTAAACAATATAAAACATTATTAGAAGTAATCGACTACGTGAAACCTACCGCTTTAATAGGATTATCTACCACCGGTGGAGTATTTAATGATGATGTATTAAGAAGAATGAGTGAATTAAATAAACGTCCTATCATTTTTCCATTATCCAATCCAATGGTTAATGCGGAATGTACTTATGAAAATGCTATGAGGGTTACCAATAATAAAGTCATATTTGCTTCGGGTACGGCTTTTCCTTCTCACGTTGATCAGGAATCAGGAAAAATTTATTATCCGGGACAAGGAAATAATATGTACATTTTGTAAGTATAAAAAAAAAAAACTGATGATTTATTGATTATTATTTTAAATTAATATTGTGTGTATATATATTTTTATTTTATTTTTTATAGCCCTGGTTTGGGATTGGGTGCTATTTTAGCTCGTTCTAAAATAATCACTGATCGACAAATATATGCATCAGCTTCGGCATTAGCTACTTCATTAACTCGCGAAGAAATTTCTCAAAATCTTTTATATCCTGCTATACAAAGAATTCGACAAGTAAGTTCCGAAGTGGCGGCTGCGGTAATTGTGGAAGCAGTTGACGAAGGATTAGCAAGAAATCCCCAAGTAATTGAGTTGGTTGAAAAGGATTATATTAAAGAAATGAAATCACGTAAAGGTGAAAAATGGGGGAAATTAATTAAATTTGTGGATTCCAATATGTGGGATCCTAAAAATGCAGAATTTTTTGAAATTGATGAAAAGTTGACATCATCATCATCGGGAAAAAGTAAGATGTAAAAAAAAAAAAAAAGAAAAAAATTAGAAAATAATTATTAGATTTTATCTTTATTTATTTTTGTCTTTTTTTTTTAAAAAAAAAATTATTTTTAGAAAAGTATACCTAATATTTATTTTTTTCCTAATTCGGATTATTCTTATCGAGATGTACCTTAATTTTTAATAAAGTCAAGCTGTCAATCTTTGATTGCTTGATCTGTTACCCTATAGGTGCAGACTTTACCTACATAACTATGTTGTCATAAATTAAACCTGATTTTTTTTTTGTCGCCATTACCTGAAATCTAACCTTAATGTCTTACATTAGCCACCTTGGTCAGTTTGCCAATAATCCTTTTCAAGATCGCCATAGTATGAGTAGTATCTTGAATGTAAAGTTCTAATAATTTAATTTGTCATGGATACATTAAATTTTGGAAAACGTGCAATTTCGAAGTACCAAATCGTCAAGATATTGGGAATAATATACATTTCACTTTAACTTCTGCCCTCTGTCTCTAAACATAATTCGTGTTATTGGTAGTGGGCACTTTCCAATGAAAATAGTAAAAAAATTGTATCACTTATATGAAGATTGTATAAAATATCTATTGAGTGATTTTTTTTTTTATTTTCTCCCAGTTATATGAATTTTATAATTAATTGAAATATAAGTACAGATTTCGTAACGTAAAGAAATTTTGATTTTTATTATAAAATAATAAAATGTAAAAATTAATAATTAATTAATTAATGAATTATCTGTTTATGATATAATAATTATAATTATGACTAATATATACAATATTAATAGAATACGAACAAGTGGGAAGAATTTTTACTAAAATGCTTAGTAAAAATAAAAAAAATAATAAAAATAATAAAAATAAATACAAAAACAAAAAAAAATCTTCCAATTCTTCGAGGAAGAATTTATTTTTTTATCAACCTGAAATAAATTTGAAAAAAATTCAAATAAAAATAATTTTTTGCCAAATTTAATTGTTTCATTCATTTATTAATTTTCAAAAAGGTTTAAAGCATCAGAATAAAGATCTTAAACAAGGATCGTTATATATTATAATCAGAATAAAGATCTCAAATAAAGATCATTATATATCATATAAATATAAATAATAATAATTCATCATTTGCTTTATAATAATCAATTTCATATATCATGATTAAAACCCTACAAAATAGAAATTTTGAAAGGAATTAGTAAATTCTCATGAAATGAAAATAATGGAAATTTACTTAGCTGGTAATATTGATTTTTATAATGAAAAATATGAAAGCTGTTAGTAGATAATTAATAAATTTTTATATATTTATATTAGTAATGTTAGTATTTTTTTTCTTTGATTTTATAACTTTATAATAAAACGGAGATAAGATATAAAAAAAAAATTTTTGAATACTGAGAATCCATGTTTCTACTTCATCAGTTCGGAGTGGTAACATTTCTTGAGCCTCCAAAATTTAAGCGACTTCGACAGTTTTCCAAAAATTGACTGGAAGTCAAATTAGGGTTGGAGAAAACAGATCGTTCTTCTCCAATGGTCTCCCATTCACTAAAAATAAATAAATTAAAAAATATAAATAAATTAAAAATTATAAATAATTAAATGTTATAAATAAATATTTCAATAATAATAACTATAGCAATAATAATATACATACGCTTCTTCATAAATTTGATCATCTCTTTCTGATCGTTCAATTTGATATTGTTCGAATGGGTTGTTATAACAGGGTTTACGAGATGCAGGAGATCGTGCATGCTTGATAAACCCATCCCTAAATTTGATTCCAGTGTTGTTCTTTCGAAGGGCAACCCGGTCTGCCCTTGAAGGTCGGTTCCAGAGATGAAGACTTGTTGCAGGTTTCGGAATATAATGCTTGCATACATCCTCTGCCATTTCCAAATGATTTTGTACACCCCTTTTTTATAATATAATTGATCATTATTAATCATTGAAAAAATCAAATAAATTCAAATTCATCAATTTTAATAAAATTTTATACCTATCATTCAAGCTTGAACCAATGTAAGGGGTATATCGATTATTTATTCTTCTTTCTATTATAATAAAAAATTTTAATAAATAATTATTTTAAATAATATTCATTCTAAATTAATTAAAAATAATAAATATTTATACATACGATTTCTAATTACAGATAATTGTGCTCTATTAACAACCACGGGAGGAGAGAGCTCAATATCAGTAGAAGTTAAGGTAGATTTCACTGCATCATGTCTTCGTATGGCAGAGGTGGAGTCATAGCGTGATGCCCTATATTAATATAACAATAATTATTTATTATTAAATTTAATATATAAAATAATCAATTAATCTTATTGATGAGTTATAAAAACATATATTACCTGTTACCAGGAGTCACACTATTTTCTCTGGAACTCGTGGGACTAGCTTGTGCAAACAAAGAAGTATTTAAATGATTAGTAGCAAAAGATGTAGAAGGAAAAGTAAAGTTAGTAGTAGTAATAGAAGAATTAGCAGAATTAGAAAAGTTAATAGCAAAAAACGTAGGAGCAGAAGAAGAATTAGCAGAAACGGAAGCATAAGAAGGAGTTAAAGAAGAAGGAGAAGAGGTAGTAGTATTAGAAGAAGCAGCAGTCAATAAAGCAGTAGTAGAAGCATAAGTAGGCAAAACAGTAGTAGTAGTAAAAGAATTAACAGAATTAGAATAGTTAGTGGCAAAAAACGTAGGAGCAGAAGAAGTATTAATAGAAACAGAAGCATAAGAAGGAGTTAAAGAAGAAGAAAAAGAAGTAGTAGTATCAGAAGAAGCGGAAGAAGCAGCAGTAGAAGAAGTTGAAGAAACATAAGTAGGCGAAATAGTAGTAATAGAAGAAGCGGAAGAAGTAGCAGTAGAAGAAGTGGAAGAAGCAGCAGTAGACGAAGCAGGAGAAACATAAGTGGGCAAAATATTAGTAATAGAAGAAATAGGTAAAGTAGTAGAAGAAGAACTAGACAAAGTAACAGAAGAAGAACTAGGCAAAGTAACAGAAGAAGCAGGAGAAACATAAGTAGAAGGAGTAAAATAAAGAGAGTTAGCAAAATCAGGAATAGCATAAGAACGAGAAGGGTCATAATAATAAGAACAATAATAAGTAGTAGTAACAGAAGGAACAAAAGAAGCAGTGTTAGAAGTGAAAGAAGCAGCAGTAGAAGAAGCGGGAGAAGTAGCACCAGAAGGAACAGAAGAAGAGCGGCGACGGTAATAAGGCGAAACGGCAGTAGTTAGAGGTGAAACAGAACGAGCAAAGCGTCGATTATATCTATCCAACGGCATTTTTCCAGGCTAAAATATCTAAAATAACTTTTGTATAAGGTTTATAAATTTATAAAGTTTAAGAGAGAAGAGAAGAGGAAGAATTATAAATAAAGTAGTTTGTTTATTTTGTTTATATTTACTGATCGTTGATCCCGATCCTGCGATCCCATGACTCTGATTGTTTATATTTACGTGACTGTTGATCCTGATCCCGAACGCTATTTACATTTTTGCGATCCCGTGATTCTGACTGTCACGTTTTCACATTTTTTATTTGAGCGTCCTTATCTTGGACCCCCGGTTTAGGATATTATCATGGACCCCCGGTTCAGGATATTATCATGGACCCCTAGGGTTCAGATCTTAAATATTATTGGCTCATAACACATATTATCGCGAGAAATTTTTAAGTCGAAAAAAAAATATATTTATTTATAATGTAATTAAATATTATAAAAATTTTTAAAATCGAAGAAAATATTTATAATGTAATTAACAATTTGATAAATTTGATATTAATTTTTTAATAAATGTAGATTATTTATTTAAATTTATTAACTATTTGATTAATTTTATTATTTACATAATTATATAAAAATAAAAAACTGTAATTATTCTTCATGAACATAATCACCGAAGGTACTACTATCCTCCATGATTTTTCGTGCTTCCTCAAGTGTAATACCCCCTTTGTCTTGAGAAATTAAATGTAATGCAGTCTCAGGAACCATAATTTCCAATATATAATCAACTGGACTTTTGGGATAACTTAATTCATTTGTTAATATATGAGTGTAAAGAAAAAGGCTGTTGAGTATTTCAGTTATAATACTCATTCCTCGAGTTCCATAATATCCTGGCTGTAAATTAATTTGAAAGTTAGAATAATTTAAAATTAATAAAATTAATAAATAAAATTTGCATATTTGTATATACTGTACCTTTAAAGTTTCAAATCTTTCCATTATTGCCATAGGAGTATTTGCTTTTATTTGACCTAATATATTGCATATTTCAAATACAAAATTACGAAAATAACTACTAGTTTTTTTATAAATAATATTGAGAAGTTCATCTTTCATTTGAATAATTCGAGATTCTATTAATTCAAAATTTATTTCCATAGGATAACCCTTGCGAATTCCATCAGGAACAATGGTAGTTTCCATATAATGAATTTCACAAAATGTTTCACGATCTTCACTTGTAGGTTTACCATTTTGATTTGAAATTTTGTGTAGTAAACTTCAAATCTTTTCAGGTAACGGACTTGGTAAATTTTCTGTACAAAAAGGACAATGACTTCCTATAAAATATATTAAAATTTAATAAAATATTTTAAAAAAATATTTAAAAATATATATATATATATATATATATAATACCTGTAATTTCTTCTTTTTCCTCATTTTCTTCAAAAAAATTACAAGTTGTATCTTGTAGAATATTTTCTTTATTATTAATTAAATGTTTTTTTTTATGTTTTGTATTTTCTATTCTATTTTTAATTCTTTTATTTGAAGGTCGCCCTTTATAAATAAATAATTAATTAATAATAATAATAATAAAAATAGTTATTTAATATAAAATTATCTTTAGATTTTATAATCGAAGGGTTTTTAATTTGTCCATTATTTAATACTTCAGAAACTTTTTGTATTTCATTAGTAATTTCTTCTTGTAATGTTTTATTTAATAAAATATAAAAAGTTTTTGCTATTTCTGATTTAGTTTTAATAATTTGCTGAATTTTTTGATAGGTACGATTGAAAAGATATTCATAATTATTATTATCATTTATATTTTTATTTGAAGTTTGCTGAGTTAAATTAGTAGGGTAAAAATGGATGTTCTGGTCTAGCACTAGTCAACTTGCTATATTTCACATTCCAAAAACACTATCAAGCATATTATTTTTGTACATCAATTTGCTTTTTTCGCCACACAGGAAAGTCACTAGCTATACCACCCCAAGTATGTGGCGTGATTTATTTTTTTCATTGCATTTTTATATCAAAATACATTGATTTTTTATATATCTAGAACACATTTATTTACTCAAATTCATATTAAAAAGGATAGCAATTATTTATGATATATAGCTTGCTATTAAAAAAGTTCAAGAGAAACGGTGAAGGATATGAATTTAATGAATATCTTGATCCCTTCTCGGACACAAATCAAGCCTAAATTGCATACCAATATTAATTGATATAACAGAATTCAATCTAAAGACGATTCTTCACTATTTTTCTGGCTCACAAAAATGTGACCATATATCTTAAAGGGTAACAAAAAATGAATATCTTGATCCCTTCTCGAACACGAATTAAGTCTAAATTGCATACCAATATTAATTGATATAACAGGATTCAATCTAAAGACGATTCTTCACTATTTTTCTGGCCCACAAAAATGTAACCATATATCTCAAAGGGTAACAAAAAATGTGATCATATATACTAAAAGGTAACAAAAAATATATGAATATATCTCAAAGTGTAACAAAAATTATAATCATATATTTCAAAGGGTAACAAAATTTCGGTAAAGGTTACAAAATTTGAGCAAAGGTCAC